ACCTATTATCTTGTCATAAATAACTTTTTATTCATCCGTTAGGGCAGAGATCAGAGCTTCATGCTAAGCTGGCAACTCTCTAACATCATAATTCCTTTCCATGCTAATGACCTGATTTGAAAAATCGGGATCAACGTGATATTGAGGATAAGGCATATCTGGGAAATTTTTTAGCGTGCTTCCAAGCTTTCGTAGCAATTTCTCAACCTCAGCAAGTGTATAATCATGAAGAGCCTCCTTAGATAGTTCAATGCCTATACTGTATAGGACAAAAAATTAAAAAAATCATGATAAATCAAAATAAGTAACAAACAAAAATATAAAATAGTTATAATAAAATGAAATATATATATATATATATATGTTTAATTGTATTAAAAAATGCATGTATTATATAAGCATAAAAAGTTATATAAACCCATAAACTTACATGAAGTGCGTCCACATATCAATTGTCGCTTGTACTGAATATCATCAGTCATCAGATGCCATATCTTCTCCCAAACATGTTTATATTGCTTGGCAGTTTTTGTTTGTATAAGCCTTGCATAAAGTTCCCTGATAGTCGATGATGTGTTTATCCGCGCAGATTCTTCAATAGTACCAATAAACTCATAATCTTCTTGGAAAAAACCCAAAGCGTCGCATGCAACTCTGAATGTATCATAGAGTTTACCATTGACTATTTTGATGTCTTCATAACACGTTGGCCCCTTAATTTTACTAAGCAAAGCACTCAAGTAGTAAATTTCACATTGGAATGGAGACACATGGTGAATACGTCCTATTGAGACACCTTGTTTCCTAGGTAGCCATTCTTTCTTCTTCTTGTTCCATACAAATTTGCTAGCAAAATTCCTCATATGTCAGACGTCTGGCTTCTTCATATTTCCTGTTACACTCCATCCAACCAGCAAACTTAAGCGCATTGTTACCGGGTTTTTCCAAAGTACCTACAATACTATCTGTTTCCTTGAACATAACATAATGTTCTTCAAGATTAGCAAATAATGCTACCAGATTAGCAAATAACGGAAGATTTTCCTTTTCATCCACCACAAGTTAAACCGGAGTTTGGGAAAACTTGTGCAACAAAGAGATTGCTCGATAATCTTTTGCACAATCACCTGTCAAAATCTAGCAAGTATATCACTTGCCAAACTTCTAGTTTGCAAGCAATTTCAATTCTAAATACACATCGTCAAGTGTGTATTGCGTCTTTTCATTTGTTGCTGCCAATAAGTTTAATGTCTGCATTTACAACAGACTTTCATTTCATGATCCTCAGTTTCATTCATTTTACCTACGGCTCCAGCATAAGTAAATTTCATGTCAATAGTTTATTCTTGATCGATTACATGTTCTTTGGTAATGACATCCCACCATCATTAAGTTTTCCAAGTATATTTATGTACTTCTTCTGGAAGTTAATTCACCGTAGTAGAAAACTAATCTAGTTCGAAATTCTTATGAATTATAATCACTCATATTTGTCATGGTGAGAATTTTTATCATTGGAATCGATGGTTCTACCGCTCATCAAATGGACATCCAATAATAATAGTGGTAGATGGTTCTACAGGGACATAATTTAATATATGGAACTTGACAGCCATTCACATGTAATTCAGTCCCTTGTTTTGGTCAGTTAAACATCTGGTTTTAAAAATTACCTCTTGAACTTCAGGTTAATATTATCGAGGATCATTATGAGATAATTACATTGTCCATCTGATTTATAAATATGTTATTTTAACTTCTCCCCCAGATGTTGGGATAACTAATCGCTAAAATGACGATTAACCAACCAAACAGTTAATAATCTCCATATTGAGAGTAACTAATTCGTCAAACTAATATGACCCGTCTATCAAGTCGTTAATCCAACAACAATAATCTCGAACATTGGAGATTCAATATTCAACATATATTTCTGACCTCTTCAGGAGGCTCTATCATTGTGTGCATTGTGGTAGAATAATTATAATATATAAATTGCACATCTAATATTTAAAGATGGATATGTATGGTTTCTGACCCAAACACCACTATTGGGGATAATATCTGCAATGACTTGTTTGGTCTTATGCATATAATTGGTGCCTTTTGTGATTCAAAACTTCTTCAATTATACACGAGGTAATTACATTCAATGAACACATGCAATAAATGATTCTACTAGACCACTTCATTATTGCTCTTATAGGCACTCAATGTTCAACTTCTATCGTTCTGGTATTGAGTCATATACTCACCACAACTATCAAATCAAAATTTTGGTAAGAGCATAATATGAAAATCGACAAGTTACCAAATTAACTCAATAATTTAGTTTATGCAAACTTCATGTTGCAAGTTAACAAGAATCATACATGTTGCTATCTCATCGACATATCGATTGATATTATAATTTGTTTGAAGAAACTCTTGGTTCTCCAAATTTAAGCATATAAACTTTCTTGTTTCGTCTTGAAACGAGAATGGCTTAAGTAGTTATTTCAAATTTTACAATTTCACTTCTGAAGAAAATAGTGAATTAATTATTCAAATATACCAGAACAATTTCACTCCGTATGAGCGTTTACTTGGACAGAGTATTTGTTATTCAATTATTTTCATTCTACTATAGTGTTCTTGCTCTTTTCAAAGCAAAGTTTATTGCTACTCTACTGGAGACAACAATAAATTTTCAAATTCAAAATAGTTTTGTTGGTAGAGCAATTTACATCCTTCTTTGATACCTTGGAGAATATAATGTATGTCAATGCACTTTCTCCTTCTAAGATTCTCTTGCTCTTTTAGGAACAAAGTTTGTTTACTATTGCTCTTCTAGAGGTAATGATGAATTATTATATTTTTACTTCATGAGCATTTATTTGTTTTCACTCTCCGGAGTAATTATACTCTACGGAAGTTTTCATCTATCTTTGCAGAATAATTTAATTGCATATGCTCTACTAGAATTTTTTATTGATTTTGTGTTTATCATTGACTAACATACCCTTCAGAGAAATTAATAAAATTCACAATACCCACAGAGGTAATATGAGTTGCATTATGTGCAAGGCATACTTTTGCCAGTAACAAATTTATATCTTATTTTCTTCGAGACATGTAGATAGAAATGTCAATTAAATAGTATCATTACCATGTTGGCCAAAAGGCCACAAACCTTCAGGGTGTTTGACATATTGGACATTTGCATCTCTAAATTTTAAATCACCTTCAGGGCGTTTGACAAAGATTGAATTATGATTTGTTAATTCATTGTCGACAGGACTAATGAATTCGTCTATTTTCAATCATATATCAAAGATATCAATAAGATAATTGTGGGTATATAGAACATGTGAACCCAATGGTCTTCTATGTCACAATGATAGCATTTGCAATATACTACTTTTTAACTTCAGATTAATAATGTGTTTTCACTATTTTTCCAACTTCAAGTGGGTTAATAGTGTATTTGTCAGAATCACCACTATTATTGTTTCATAATCATCACATTTACTTCAGAAAATGGACCATGTCTAAATTGAACATGTCTTCAAATTTACTCTCCAACTTCATGTGAAGAATTGTATATTATATAATAAAAAAATGTAGATTTAATGTCTAGGATTTTCTTTGAAATAATTTACTGCCCACTCATTTCAGAGAAAGAAAACAATTCATAAGATTTCAATAAATATTTTGCGATAATGCTACTACTGGAGCAATTTAATATGGTAAATATGCTATCGCAAAATTGATACTTCAGGAACAACTTTGATGCATTTTCATATTGCTATTGGCAATATATTTTAAGTGTATGAGTAAATATTAGTAATACTAAGAGTATAGTAGAATATAAAATTACGAAGTAAAATATCAGAAGGAGATTTTATTCTATTAATACATTTTTACAATATCAATAAATATTTGATAATAAAACAAAGTGTTTTCCTTACAATCTAAATATCAAAGAAATTAATTCTTTAAAGAAAACATTTTTTTCTTTGCACACATGGATACCATCGCAATTACATGCAACTTATATAAATTTTATACATTCACATGATCAACAATCATATACATAGCTTAAAAATTGCATCGTAATTGTATGATATGAGTACATAAAATTTATAACAAGAAATATTTTTCCTTCATATGCAAACCAAATATGCATAATTTATGATCTACCCTTTTCTCCCATCATCATTATTTTGAGTCAATAAATTCAACTCCATGATGAACCGTCTCAGTGAGGATAGAGACTTGTGCACCAGAAAGTTTTTGAGGTCACGTCGCTTTAGATCATGAAAACCTTTTAAATAGACATTGAGGTTTCAGGTCTTGAGAATTAATACACACCAACATTAGGCGGTGATAGAATTAAAATATTCAACGAGGCATCAAGCTTTCAAAATTAATACGCACCAACTTCAGGCGGTGGTAAAAGCTCTTTTCCTAGAATTTTCGTGCTGATAGCGTGTTATAAAATTAATGATAAGTTACTAATATAAAACTAAGCATAAAAACAAAGAGGAGACAAAATAGTAGAGAAAGATAAGAGACTTGTATTCAGATATATTTTAAAGCATGAAAAAATCCCCTATTTATACAAGAAGTACGAGATCAAACTGTGGGAAATGAATCACCTATCATCAATACTAAATATTACAGAATCATATCTTTTTTGATTGTGAATAGAATAATACATATCAATGTGCACATTCAATTAAATCAGATTTTTCCATAACATAATAATTTTTTTTTTAGTGTCAAAAGTAGTGTTTTCAATCGCCAAATTTGCCTCACGGGTATGCACGTTTCCTGTTTCCTTAGGAATCGTTCAAAAAAATTGACAAAAACTAGGAAAAGCACCTATTCTGCAAAGGCATCGCCTACACATTTCCTTTCGCATCGTTCATAAAAATACACAAAAACCAGGAAACCGCCTAAAGTAAAGACATACTGAAGAAATGATGATGATGACACGAATTTTTCCAGAAGCTTGATCATAAGATATCAATTTCACAAGCATCTGATCCTTTCTGGATATTCTTTATCTTCTTTGCGATGCTATACTTGGCTTCAAGTTGCCGGTAATTGCCTACAGATCTTAGATATTTCAGCTCAAATTTGCGGGCTGTCCCTCCTCCACGGGTGCTGGTATTCCATGGTCGGTGTGTATCAGCAAGACCTATTTCTAACTTTTGTAATACGTTTCCATTCTTGAGAACATACTTTAACATACCGAGCTCGAATTCTGATTCCCTGAAATCCTGGATCCAAATAGTTATCAGGCATGTCATCAAACATCTGGGTACAAGCACTGGATCGTTCCATAACTCTTCAGCATGAATTCTACCAGAACAAGACCGGTTCTTTGTTAATCTCAAAAACATAACCAATGGAAGTCCCGATTCGAAGTTGAGGGATGCTGGTATGTCACCAGAGAAAGAGAGACAATAAACGATGCAGAATGCTTCAAAACACTTGATGAGCCATTGATATGAAAGAGTTTTATGCAAATCAAGTTTTGCCTTATTCAATGAGCCCGTATTTGTAATCTGTAGAGAATCGGAGACATGATCCTCAGTATGTTCTGAGACGGCAAGAGCATTTTTATCTAGCCCATTATCGGCAGAAGCACGGCTATGGCTCCCCTTTACTATTTGGAGAGATTTCATTGCTGGTGCATGTATACGCAACTTCGGCACATGCATGTATGGCATGTTTTTAGGACTGTTCACCCAAATGGACAAATTTTCAAGCCCCAAAGAGCAACAAATCAGGTTAGTAACAGATTCCTCGTTTTGGTATCTAACCCAACCGAGTTCAAGCGTTTTCAAGTTTGGCAAGTATGCGGTACTTGGAACAGCGATCATCAAGGTTTCGCCAATCAACTTGAGAACCACAAGCGTTTGTCAAGAGAAAGTACCTTGAGGCAACTGAACGCCCATACCACCATTTGTATGTATATTATAGGGGGCAAAAGAAACCTATCACTTCGACATTTCAAGAAATTGCCTTCTTAATCCATGATTCAATGTCAACATCATACGGGCGACTATATCTACAATGAACGCAAAACTCTCGAATGGATGCATTGTGTTCAAGCAAGATAATAATAATAATAATTTATTATTAATAATGATAACAAATTATTATGATTATTATGATTATTATTATGTGCAAATGAAGACTTAATTGTGCGCATTTGTGCCGAATTTTCTTCATTTCTAGTTCTTACCTATTCTTGCATAGAAATATGTAAAAATGATGGGCGAGTTATGTGCATTTGTGCTTCAATGAATTTTATGTTTATTACTAGGAATCCTTAACAGGCCTTACATAACTGACAATTGTTCCAATTATAAAGTTGGCCCCCACAATAACATACCGCATACACAATAGTTCCGAATTAGGGGTGAAGTGATGAATCCAGCTTTGGCCCTAAAATGGGTGTTTTTTTTTTTTGGAAAAACTTACGTTGAAACTCTGAGGTCCACCAAGACAACGGAACATGAAGTAGCTAGCTTGAACAAACTAATCGTTTTAGAAAACCATCTAAGGGGATGCGAAATCTGAGCAGATTTTGCTAGGATTGGAGAAACTTTTTCAGACATTGTTTTATTATCTTATTCCGGAATGGCAATATTAGCAGCTTCAATGAGGGGCACCTACATAATAACAATACCAATGACACGTAAAATGTAGAATTAAAAAAATACAGTTAATTAAATACAAGAATTAGATCAACATATATAGTACAAGATTTTGATATAGAGATAAGAGTATACATAACTTGAGGGGTATGTAGCAAGTGTTATCAATGATTTCACTTTTGGGATTGAATACCCACATAGTTAACTCGTAACAGCTCAGGCTCATGGCACGCACAAATGCGACTTGATGAGCACTTTTGTGCGTCAAATATGCGCTTGCATTTTCACTGATTCTTGCAACGTCTATCTTTTTGGTGAAGGGCATATTATATTGCCTGCAATTGTCATGGGCCATGAGGACCCCACGCTGGCTGCAATGGTCATTCTCTCTAACAATTGAGCACAATAAGGTGTGCACCAACAAATCATGTACCTCGTTTACCTGTTTTGGCAGCTAGATGAACGAGTGATTGCCATTCCAGTGTTTTTGCCGCTATCGGAAACGTAGGGCAAGAAATGGTAAGATTTATTATTGGGGTTGGTTGATTTCTTGAATCATCACACGCATCAATTATTTTCAATCAATACTTATCATTTGAGAATGTAAGATTTACCAAATCTACCTAATAGATATAACATTTCAATGTGCTTCCCCTGTCGCATAAGAAAAGGTACTGAATAAAAAAGCTATTATTATAAATTACTTTTGCATATTAATAAAATTACTTGTTAGTCCTTTTGAAAAATAGGAAGTAAAGCTTCGGTTTTACATTTCTTTAAGTTGATTTTGTTCATAAGTCAACTAGGCGCAGAACCTGTGCGTTGCACGGGATAGAAAAAGCCACAATTTTTTTAAAAAAAATCTACCAAAAATCTACCAAAATTTGAATCACTCCACTCTGCTAATTTCATAAATATAATAATTATTATCGGGATCTGATACATATTTGGTAGTTATTTTCAACATAAAGTAATAAAAGAACAAAAGGCAAATTTTATTTTAGTTAATTACGGCACTGAAACTTTGCGTTCGAGTAGTTGAATTCCTTTTAGAGCAATATTTAATCCTTCGATTCGTCCCTTATAATTCAGTCATTTTACTCTACCGTTTTTTGGTTAACTACAATACTGGAAATTTGGTGTTTAATCCTTCTATTTTCCCCTTGAATTTCAGTCATTTTACTTTTTCACTAAAGTTAAAAAGGTTTGTTATTATTGATCAATTTGATACGCCATATATTCGAACGTGAAGATAAAACGCTTTCCATGTATGATAATTCTTGTAAACTGTAAAAAAAAAGGAACAAATTCTCCTAAAAGTGAGACAGAGTATTAAATAGATGAAATGTTAAGGTTTAAATATGATAGGTTTTATTTGTACTCTGAATGAAAAAAAGAGGATAGCTATTGAGATTTGATTCAATGTTTATGAAAGGTATGAGGTTCCTAATGGAAGTTTTAAATGCTAAATTTCAAAAGGATAACGGTAAAAAATAGAGCGAGATAACACTAATCATCAACATATAGATAATGGGAAATGACTCAATAGACTTACATGATGCCTGTCCCCGGATCACTTCAACATGGCACCATTTTGCGAGAGTTTTAGGGGTTATCACTCATAATCATACAGGATGGTAGAATCTTCTTCATGCATGGCAGTCCGTAGGAAGTTTCGCTATGGCTAAACACAGACGGATCTGCAATGGGACAACCAGGTGAAGCGTGTTGGGGATATGCTTAAGAGGAGATCAAGAAAATATCATTGCGGCTGAAAGCAAATATACGGGTATGGCAACAAGTTTGAAAGTGGAGCTGGCGGGAATCTATCAAGGTTTAAAGGCTTGCACAGAAAGAGGTATATGCGATGAATTGAAGTGCAAACAGACAACCAAGTCATTAGACTCTGTCTACATGAGGGTTTCCCATGGAAATACTGTCATTATTTCATAGGAATACAAAAAATGCTGAGAATCTCGCACTCAAGAATCATTCATATTTATCGAGAGGCAAATAGTGTTGTGGATGAACTTGCTAAACATGTTTCTAAAGGGACTACAAGAAAGTATGATTGTCTTGCAACCGTTCCAGCATCAGTGAGAGGAAAAGCTCTTTTAGATCGACTGTCTATTCCTTATCTCTGAATTAGATAGTCTCTACTTTTGTAATAGAGCTAGCAGCTTCTTTGTTTTATGACTTTAAAACTTGTTGTAAAGTGCCTGGAGTTGGACCGTACTCCGCTCTTGGCTTATTTCTTTTTCAAATTGGAATAAAATTTGGGGAGTGATGTAGCGGAAGCCTCCAAAAATAACACTAACACAAACAGTAACCGTTGCAGATCCGTTTAGTCTGAGAATGCCCAGAAATATAACCGTCCCAAGATCCCTTTACTCTAAGAATACCAGAATTCCAAGGTATCTAACAATCCGTTCATTCAATATGAATACCGGAAAGTAGGCATCAAAACATTCAAGTTTTGGAAGAGAGAACACTCTCAATAATTTATCAATATTCAACAACTGTCTTTTACAATGGCGGCCAAAAGTCTTAAATGAAAAATGAACCTATGGAATAAAACCCTAATCTATCTAAACTAGAATTACCAAAATAACCCCACAAGTATTAACTAAAATCCCCTACACCATTCTATCCGTCTGAGAAAAAACTTGTCCTTGAGTTTTAGTCTAAGTTTGCCACGATCAAAAGGAAAATGAACAAACGCCTTGAATAGCTTGCTAGAATCAAAGACTACCATAATGGACAAACCCCTAAGCTGTTTAACATTGTGAGGATGGTTAGTCTCTGATCTTTGTTGAAGGGGACAAAAGCTACGGCCATGAAAGGCATGGAAATGTAAGCACTCAATCTGATGACAAACCCTAGTAATAGATATCTGATTCGCAAGAAAAACACCATGCACATCACGTTCACAAGGGTAAAAAGACTTGATCTCTAAAGCCGAAGTGCAAAAGTCATCATGGTGCTGAATGTGGTGTCCAAATAGACCATAAAATGAGCTAGAACCAGCACCCATATAAATTCGATCAATATCCACCTCTTCTTTCAAAGGGAAATCATTATGCAGCAAATTGTTCCCATCTCCTTCATCAGCATAAACATCAAATAAAGGAGGGCAGTTCCAGTCAATGTTGTTGTCCTCCCATGGATCATGATCCAAAGCAAGATTAAAAAGATCATCACAAGAGGTACATTTCTTCAACAAAAGCCGATCATCTGGAGCTATAGACGTGCAATGATGCACTGGTTCATCCTTAACCACACAGCTGACATCAATGGAAGGACCAGGAATGACAACTTCCACATCAACGGCTTTGTTTCTTTGGGCTCTTAGCTGATCGTGGTTGGAACCAAACCTTTGGTTGACACCAAAACCTAAGTATCGATCTTCACGAACCCGAGACTCCCAGAAACCCGGAATCTCATTGTGGAAGTTAAGCTTCTTGTGGCGCCGTTTGTGTTCGTCCACATGATCTCTAACGTGGTGCTGAAGCGCCTTCTCGGCATAACCCTTTCTCTGGTGTTGCTGTGGTTGGTTCTTGAAGCCACAAACTCGGCCTGATGTAATGAACTCTTGGTGGCGGGATGACTCCTGCAACAAGGTACCAAACTTCCGTCCATTATGAGATTTAAGGCCAGCTAACTGATCCAATCTCACCATCATGGGCTCAAACAGCTGCCTAATCAATTGTCATAAATATTCCTTCAGTTCTTGCAGCATTTGGTCCTCGATTTCAGCCCGTAATCCAACCCGTTGGTGCCGAATCTGTTGCCGAATCCTTTCTTCCATTTGAACAAGCTGTTTGTCACGCCGTGGTGGCATCACAAATTGGGTAACCAAAACTTGAAAAGTCGGACAAAACCTCACGGACAAACCAACTACCACTTGGAACTAATGAATTCGTAATGCATTCAATGACCCAGTAATCACCTATTGGCACGAACGCATCCAGAACCAAATGAATATTATTGACCGAATATACCCAAATTGGCTAGCAAGGACCACAAAAGAAGCCAAAATTCATTAAGGAAATAAAAATAATTTTAGTCCATCAAACCAAACCAAAAACGCCAAGAAAGGATTTGATAATCGACAAAATGAAACTAAATCAATAATATAACACAGCCGTTACCGTCAAACCACGAAAAAAAAAAACTGATCTTTGATCAACTAAATCCAACTCCACTAAGCAAATAGTGTAATTGATTCAAAGAAGGATCAGATTTCACTTTGGTAACGTAATTGATCAAAACCCCTCTATTTGTGATACCAACTGAAGTAGTGGAAGCCTCCAAAAGGAACCCTAACACGAACCGTAACCGTTGTAGATCCATTTAGTTTGAGAATGCTCGGAAAAACAACCCTCCCAAGATCCCATTAGTCTAAGAATACCTGAAATTCCAAGCCATCTAACAATCTGTTAATTCAATATGAATACCAGAAAGTACGCATCAAAACATTCAAGTTTTAGAAGAGAGAACACTCTCAATATTTATCAATATTCAACAACTGTCTTTTACAATGATGGCCAAAAGCCTGAAATAGAAAATGAACCTATGGAATAAAACCCTTATCTATCTAAACTAGAATTACAAAAATAACCCCACAAGTATTAACTAAAATCCCCTAAAATCCCCTACACCAGGGAGGGACGACTCCAGGGAACTGGATGGATGTCCATCCCATAGGTATATCCATGGGTGCACTATTATCTAGCTCCAGCTGATGCAATAAAATATCTCTTCGGTATACCTCTTGAGTATATTTTGTGACAGTTGGAGCCTGAAATTCGTTCTGTCCTTTCATCAAAACAAAAAAAAGGACTTACATCATCAATATATGAAATTACTTCCCAACTTTAGCACAAAGAAATTGATGAAATCTCTTATATTTTTCCACATCGGTATCGTGAGACACTTTCTTTCAATATATAAGCTTGGTGGGTCAAGACCACCAAAGAATTAATTAACCTAATCCAAATTTTTAGCAAGTAGTAAGCATGGTCGATCCACAGGGACGAGCAAGAAAATCAATGAAAATCTGATTGAGGTGCAAGTGTTAAATTAAAATAGAACAAAATGTCATTTGGGAGAGTAAGAAAGTCAATTGACATAGTAGTAGAGAACTAGGATCATCCTCCTTCTTCTCTTTATATTGATGTTATTGCTTTGTAGTTATTTTTGCATATATGAATATTATTTGATCAGGTACAAATATTCTCGATATTCACTTTTGATAACAACAAGAAGTCCTAGTATAACCAAATTAACTATATCTCGATGATAATTTACATTACACCGAGCCCTTAAGAACCTAGGCCCTAATGATCACCTATGTCAATTAACTAACTCTCATTGTCAATTGAAACCAAGGGTTGTTATCCCCGTTGTTATAGACTAGTTTAAGCAGTTGTAAATTATGTTTTTCACATACAGAGAGTAGAGATTAGACCCTAGTAAAAGTTTAACTACTCATTCTTATTGATTCAAACATGAGAGCAACAAAACACGAAACATTCAGTATGATTGTAGTTTTGAAAGATAGTAAACAGACGGGAAGAGGAAATGCAGCAGAGGTGATTCTCTCTGCTGACTTGGGTTACTGAACTCGTCGCTTGCCCAAGTGACGGTTTGCACTTAGCTTCTGCAACACTGTGTTTTCTGCTCTAACCTAATTCTAACTTCATTCACTCTTTGATCTGTTCTGTGCTCCCATCATCTGTTGTTTTACATTTACAGCTGCTGTGGCTATTTATAAGAGTTGGGGATTGATTCATTGTTGCTTCTTCTGATCTTCCTTTCTTCAACAAGTAGGAAAATTTGCAGCTTTCTTGGAGTTGTTTATTGAGCAGTTGCCAAGTTGGCCCTCTCTCATTGGCTGCACTTTCTTCTTCCTCTGCCAAAATAATCAGCATCCTTTCATGATTGCCTTTCTACTTATTCTTCTTCTCCGGCACTTTTCTCTGATTCAGCCCCCAATGTCCTTCTTTCCTACTTCCAATCCATCAACAACATCAGCAATAGCAGCAGTGGCAGCAACATGCTTCTGCTCAAACATCATGTTCCTCCTCTATCCTTCTACTACAGCCTCCAATTTAGCCACCAATCTTTTGTTCTTCTTCTTTTTCAATCAAAGTCAGGTGTAGCAGTGGAAATTCCAGCATCAACATTTGCAGCTTCTTTCTTCTTTTCCTTCTTTGCTTTTGCCCATTCAACAGAACCACTAGTAGCATGGGAGCTACCTTGTAGCTCTGATTTCTTCCCTTTTTTTATTCTTCCACTTGCAAGAAACTACAACTGTGATATCCTACTTCCAACAGCCTACATCCCTTCCTATTTTCTTCCTTTAATCGATCATCCTTAGCCTTCAATTCAACAGCTTCCAAATCTGGTCTTTTTTATGTTCTTTTCCACTTTTGGCCCAATATTTCCAGCAATTTCCAATTTGGCCCTCTAATCACCCTAAAATGTAAAATAAACCTAAAAGTAAACTACTCCTAATTAATCTACACTAATTTATGATTAAAAAAAGAATGAGATTTGATTGTTTATGGTGTAAATTTGACATATATCAAAGCTCCATATGTTAGTCCCCTCATCGCCATTTGGTTTTTAGGTATAACTTCACAGACATCGATATGATACCAGAGTGGGTACGATCTGAGGTGAATTTTAGTCTGGGATGTTATTCCGCTATCCCTGATATTATTTCCTGATTATTTTTGTGACACAACAATGTATTTGGGATTTAATCCAAGAGGGGGTGAAGGAATCACTTATAATATTTTTCCAGCATTGATATCAGTATTGGTGGAACTCCACACACTTCTATAAATATACTAAATTATCAATTTATCCAAGATAGAATATTTAATTTCTCATATATCCTTGCAGTCATAAATGTAGCGTGTAGGGGTGTTTTAAATGGTGAGTTTCTTCCTTGGCAGGTTTGAAAAGAAGCTTTATGTTTTGGCAAAAGTACTTCTTCACTTTAAATCTTCATCCATGTTTGTATTGCTGGTGAATTTTGTATTAGTGAGCCTACGCTCATACTGTGCAAGTATCTTTTTTTATTCCTCGGTGTGTTATTCAATAAATAGTCAGGTGTTGTATGGAGTTCATAAGGAGAAAGAAGGAAAATGGAAAGAGTTAGTCATTGGTAGCATGGTATGATATATGCAGGACAAAAGCAAAAGGTGGCCTGTGTATAAAAGAACCAGGTTATTGGAACAAAACTTTGCTGGCAAGAAAATCTAGCTCTTGGCAAAAAAAAGGCGAGTTCATGTGATTGAGTGGATACAAATATACTATTTTGAAAGTAAAAGTATTTGGGAATATAAATTACCTAATGACCACAAGTTGCCACTAAAATAAAATGACGAAGGATAGAGATAAAATTAGTAATTCGGTGGAGAATGGGAAATTGATGGAAAATGGTGGTAAGCAGAACACAACACAAAGTGGATATAACCGAATGAGTGGAGGAAATGATAACAGCGAAGAATCAAAAAAATTGTTTCGAACTCCTCTACCATTCCCAAGCATACTTTTAATAGTTAGCTTGCTTGGAAAGGGAGATATAGGACTACGAATTGATCGAGTGGAATGCAAGTTCCTATAAATTATTTGAGATGTTTGTTGCGTACAGAAGATGATGAAATTGGCCCACACATGTTCTTGAATTGCAAATACGCTCAAGAGCTAATTCCCTTGTCCAGACAGTCGAACATCTCCTAGAAAGGCTGCTAAAAGGGCAGGAAGTAGGTAAGCAGACTTGGGAGTTGGGCTTTAACCTCTTTCTCCTTTACCGAAAAAGGAAAACTATGCTATACCTGCGAGTGGGGAACAAAAGTCAGAGACACAAGGAATGAGACAATGGTTAGGAATGATGACTGAAATAAAAAGCCTAACTCCCACAAGGTTGCTGAGAATATGGAGATTTAGAATAGTTAAACATAAAACAATGTTTTCTTTTATCAATGCCCTTATATATCATGTTTGGTTGCAGAGAAATGCGACAAGGTTTGGAGATCTAGAAGAGCCAGCAATCAGAAAGCTTTAGAAGATACAACAAGATATCAAATGGAAAGTAGAGTTTAATTGTTGTAAAGGTAGTAACGACAGTATTCGGTGCTTAAGGAAGTTAGGTAGTACCGACAGTATTTGGTTCTTAAGGAAGTTAGGTAGTACCGACAGTATTTGGTTCTTAAGGAAGTTAGGTAATGAAAAGTCTCTTAATTGCAAAATCTCTCCTCTTAACTCTCCTTCTCTCGATGTATGTTAACGTAACAACACTAACCTGTGCCTGTTATGTCGAAGGGTAAGATGAGGGGCATAAAAGCAACATCTGAGAAAGGAAATAACAAGGAGGAAGAGTCAATTGATGATTCACCAAAAGGGATTTGTCATAAGAGCACATCAAGGGGAGATCTGGGAATTGGGGTAAGTGCATCTAGGGTTTCTATGAGTACAGCAAAAGTAAACAATTTTGGGGATAAAATGGGTCTAGAGCAACAAACATAGAAGCTAAGTGAACTGTTAAGCATTAGCACTGGTTGAAATTTGATTGGGATGCAGGGAAAGGAACGGTGACGAAGCAAGGCACAACATGGGATACTTTTGATGTCAAGAAATTGAGGAACGTCGGAGTCTTGCTGGATTTTG